CTCGGTCCGGATCCGGACCGAGGTCCGCCTATTAGTGACCTCTGATGTAGACCCTGTTGTGGACCAAACCACCAGACAGCGACCCATTTTTGAGGTGGTCTCAGTCCGATTCCAAACAAACTCTAGTGCGGTTTGCTTCTGGTGTGAATACAGACCAGCCTTTAACAGAATCAACTACAGGAAACGTGCGGCTTTTTGGACTTCACGAGCCACTGTTGTTAAGCATCATGGTAACAATTAGCCCTTCATTATGGCTATTATAGGCATATTTATAGGCATTATTATAGGGCTGCACAAGATCAATAAAACCTGCGATGTGCGTAAGAGTGCTTARTATTGCGATGATGWTATGACTTAAGATAAATCCAAAAATACCTAATTAYACAAWGTTGATGTTTTTCTGCTCTGGGTTCAGAGCAAAAAACAACWAMTACATAATYTCCATTACAACATGATGGAGTGATTATGATTTGATGTTTCTCTTGTCCATTTTGTTTAACAGACTGATGCTGACAAACAACATAAATACAAATATKTGAGCCAATCATTTATTGCAATTTACGCATTTTTTGCGATATGCATATTGGCTGTAATAACAGCCGATAACACTGGCTGTTATTGCGATAACGATAATTTTGTGATATATTGTGCAGCCCTACATTATTATAATATTTCTTCTCCTTTGAGTTGCAGCATGCATTCGCCAAAGCCTGTCCATGAAATAGCCTTGGAGTCAATTGTCCAATTACTTTTGGTCTCTTTAAAAGCAGGGTAGCACATTTTAAGGAGCTGAATTCCTAAAGCCTTCATTCAGTTTTAATGTGGATACCCTCAAATGAAAGCTGAAAGTTTGGACTTTATATCCATGTCCTCAATAGGTTTCAGTAAACGGGTAAAAAAATAAACTAACTTTGTTTCAGTGCCCAAATAGTTATGGACCCAACTGTATGATTAGCCAATTTATTGGTGTGTTTAGTAAATTAAAATAATATATAGGTTTTTTTCAGATTTTTAGWATGACAATTCTGAAGAAAAAAAGGGTTTGCATCTTTGCTTTTGGCTCATTTATTTACATCAGGTGATATTTTGACTCTTAATCAGACTGTCTTATGTCACCTGGTGTAAATAAATGAGCCAAAAGCAAAGTCCTTCACAGAAGAGGATTACGACTATGGTGGTATAATATTTATATGTTTATTCTTAGAATTCAGACTTTCTCAGAATTCTGAAAGTCTGAATTCTAACTATTTCTCTTTTTCAGAATTCTGAGATGTTTTTTCCTCTGTGGCCTTAAACCTTTTCCATTCTTCAGTGTTCAAACCTTTTTTTTTGTTTTGTTTTTACCACATGATCTCCCGCATTTTAACTAAGCACCTGCTGTTATTTTGAACATRGATTTGTGTGGTTCTTGTTCCATTTGTTCTTGTTTAGGTTTAAGATCAAGCAAAAAGTTTGTGGTTGGATGTTTATTTGTTTATTCCCCAGGTGACCCAGCAAGATGTGAAGAAAGAAAACCCACTGCAGTTCAAGTTCAGAGCCAAATTCTTCCCTGAAGACGTGTCAGAGGAATTAATCCAGGAGATCACACAGAAGCTTTTCTTCCTACAGGTAACCAAACCACTTATTGTGAAAGTGCACATTAATGACATTATGGCAAATCAATGATTTCTCACAAAATATCTGTGTTAAAAAACTTGTCTTCTGTTTTCTCAATTCTGCTCCTGGATGATTCGGCTCATTGCTCTCTCACTATTTGTGCAATATTTTTGTGGGATTTCTGACCTTTTCCGTTTTCACATTTGTCCAAACAGGTCAAAGAAGCCATTTTGAATGATGAGAACTACTGCCCTCCAGAGACCGCCGTGTTGCTGGCTTCATACTCCGTCCAGGCCAAGTACGGAGACTATGCCAAAGATGTCCATAAACCTGGATACCTTACTCATGATAGACTTCTGCCTCAGAGGTAATTCAGCCGTGTCATGACATGAGTCTCTGCTGCTCAGTCATCATGACTAATAACACTTGGGAGTAATCTGCAGTGAGAAGGGGACCTTTGTGTTTTCACAGGAGAGTTGAAATGTCTGCATCTCTGCTGGAGTACTCTATGATTTCCTGTTGAGGAAACAATTTTGAGCTGTTTGACATTACTTCAGGTGAATGTGTGTGTGTGTGTGCGTGTGTGTGTGTGTGTGTGTGTGTGCGTGTGTGTGTGTGTGTGTGTTTTCAGAGTTCTGGAGCAGCACAAGCTGACAAAGGAGCAGTGGGAAGACAGGATACAGACTTGGCATGAAGAACACAAAGGAATGCTCAGGTGCCTGTCAAATTTTATTCATGCAGTTTAAACAAAATAATCTTTAATTTGGTTGTGTTTGAACAAATTATGTAACTTATTAAATTATTACTAGTAGAGGAGCAAGGTTTGAAGTTGGTTAGAGTAACCTGCAGTAGTTTAATTTCTTAGATCACTTTTAAAATTAATTCAACGTGGCCTTGATCAAAGATGTGTGAATAAACAAGTCTTTTAGCACTGCTGTATTTTTTCCTTGTCTTTAGAGAGGACTCCATGATGGAATACCTTAAAATTGCTCAAGACTTGGAAATGTATGGAGTGAACTACTTTGAGATCAAAAACAAGAAAGGCACACAGCTATGGCTCGGCGTGGATTCTCTCGGCCTCAACATTTATGAACACGAGGATAAGTAAGACRTGAACTTAAAGTGATTTATAACCTTGTACAAAAAAATATATAAATAAAACCAATTTCTCTATATAGGGTTAATTCTGGCAGTGGTGGTGTTAAAATCACTTTGTATCAGGCATTTTGGCTTAAARCTACCACTCTATTCACACCACCTTAACAACAAGCTACCTACAATAAAGTGGATATCAGTKCCAAAAAAAAAGGCTCAACAACTGAGTGAACAAGCGTTCACAGTTAAAAGAAAACACAATAAGTAGTTAAGATAGAAAAGACTACCGTAATTCAGTGGTGTGGTGCTGGTTCAGCTATCAAAGCTCTGATAAACTTTCATTCTGCTGTAAAATGTGCTGAAGAGTCTGGCATCGACTTGCAGCAAGAAATCAGATCTGTTCAATCCTCTGATAAACTTAAACATCAACATCTCATCGTCAGCAACTGTTGAACAAAGTGAAGCCGACGCTGCAAAATGCAGATGGGTATGGCAGGCCGTTTTGACATAAAATCGTCTTCACCACACTTACATTCCAGATATTTAAAATTGGTTCATGACTAGACATAACAGTATACGTTAATTAAGATACTTCTAATTATACTTTAACTAGAAAACATACCTGTTAGTGATAGCTCTGACTCTATTCTGACTGGTCTGAATGATGTCAGATTTAACATTAAGTTTTATGGAGGCTCTAAATTAAATCTGCAAAAAATCACTATCTGAAACATTCAGTTATCAAAAATTAAACTATGACTAGTCATAAAGTAAATTAAAGATAGCTTGCTTTTTGTTCTGACCATTTATAATTTAATTAAATAAATCTTAAATGATATCTGGTTAAATATCAGGGTTCTTGGCAATCTTTTTTTTTTTTTACATTTTTATTCATATCAATATTGGAATTTATAGATTAAAAAAATTGCAATTAGATTATTTTCCAAAATCGTTCAGCCCTAATTTCTTCTAAATATTTAATTGGCTATTTTTCAATACATTTATTTTGTAAATGTTTTAGCTACTTTGTCAGTAGGACGTGCTTACACTAAACACTTAAAGCCATTTGAAAGCAGCGTTTTTTCTTTTCAGAAATCTAAATTCAGACTATCTGTAAAATGAAGAAGGGTTCTTTTTTGTACTCTGGTCATATATTATTTATTTTGTTTTTGAGAAGAGTGATACAACCTCTTTGCTTTTGTATTTGTTGCCATTATCTATCCTGACTGCTTTTCTTTTGCCTCGTAAGCTAAAAATAGTGTTTACAGCAAAACAGTGTGGGGTGATTTTCTTGTTCTTAGTTTCTGCATTAYTCATTTCCTTTTTAAATTCTCAGGYTTTCTTAAAATTATCCATATATTTAAATATCTTCCAGACTGACACCAAAGATCGGCTTTCCCTGGAGTGAGATTCGAAACATATCTTTCAACGACAAGAAGTTTGTCATTAAGCCTATTGACAAAAAAGCTCCTGTGRGTGATTTCTGTCATCACAAGAACTGAAAGGTCAACTAACAGATGATGCTTTACAGATTTTCATACTGTTTTTTTTTAAATTCTCACAGGACTTTGTGTTTTATGCCCCACGGCTGCGCATCAACAAGCGTATTTTGGCGTTGTGTATGGGTAACCACGAGTTGTACATGAGGAGGAGGAAGCCCGACACCATCGAGGTGCAGCAGATGAAAGCTCAAGCAAGAGAAGAAAAGCACCACAAGCAGATGGAGAAGTACTTCAGATAATGCTAAAGTTTTCAAATATGTGTGAATAGACATACAGTATTTCCAGTCATGGTAGAGCCTCACCACTGGAGGGCAGTCTTGTTTTTACTCGTTTTAGACAGAACTGACYGAGTTTTGACTCTGGAGCTTCAGTCCTTACATCAGTCTTAAGTGACAAGTACAAATAAAACACAAAGATTTAACACACTCAGACATCTGGCATATTTATTTGCAAAATGTTCTCAGGGCCCAGCTGGAGAATGAAAAGAAGAAGCGAGAGCTTGCAGAGAAGGAGAAGGAAAGGATAGAGCGGGAGAAAGAGGAGCTGATGGAGAGGCTCCGGCAGATTGAAGAGCAGACGACGAAAGCTCAAAGAGGTGCGCGTCTTTCTCCTCATCCATTCATCTCTTTACTTTGCTGCTGCTTCYCTCCTGTCGACTCAGAGCGTCTCTGGAGGCTGCTAGTCAGACATTTTGACTATTCATAACCAAAATGATCTGAAATTATTTTTTTATTAATTAGTTTTTATCTAATGAGGCATCTGTTTTCTATGTACTGTGAACTGTGCCATGTTTTGAAATATTAAATGTACAGTTCTGTTTACCATAAACATACTAATGGTGCGTTCACACCGAATGCGATTTCAGCGTCAGCAGCAGCAGGTTTACATACAAAGTCTATG